CAGTCTTACATCGGGGAAACAAAACAGCCACTGGCCAAAAGGATGGCCCAGCACAGAAGATCAACATCATCAGGCCAGGACTCTGCGGTCTACACTCATCTCCAGGCCAGCGGTCACTCTTTCAGGGATGAAGATGTTCACATCCTGGACAGAGAGGAACGATGGTTTGAGAGAGGAGTAAAGGAGGCCATCTTTGTGAAAAGAAACCGTCCATCATTAAACAGGGGTGGAGGCCTCCGGGTTCAACTGTCCCCCTCTTACAATGCTGTGATTGCTAGTATCACTCAGCCCTCTGTGAACAGTAAACAGCCATCAGTGTGCTAATGATCCATTGTTATGCTGATGGTCCTTCTTGAGCATGTGATCAGCTGGTTTTGGTTGTCAGCAGCAAAACTGGTTGATCCACCCTGAGACGGTGCTATTTAAGAGACTGAGCTGAATACAGCTCCTCAGACTGAGGAAGTCTCTCGGATGAGAGACGAAACGTTTCTACATTTTTTTGTTGATTTGCTTTGTTTTGTTTTTTTTGAATGTCCAGAGGACCAGATTTAACATTTTTAGATCTCCCCAGTAATGTTTGACTCTCTGTCACTCAGCTTGAGGAAGAAATTAAGCAGTCTAACCAGACCCAACCACTTCCACCTGACTGTCCTAAGAACAGAGTGTTTGTACCTGCACACCATGTCAATAAGGTATTAATAATAATAACAATAATAATTTATTCAATTTGTACTGCACTGTACATTTTACAATCTCAAGGTGCTACAATATAAAATATCTAAAGAGAATAAAATGTGGACTAAAAAAGGACTAAAAAATGTTAAAAGCTAAACTGCAGGATTAAAATACTTTTAAACACTATAAAATCTTTTAAATAAAAAGGTCTTCAGTCTTTTCTTAAAACTTTCTGTAGTCTGGGGTATCCTTAGATGGTCAGGGAGGTTGTTCCACAGACGAGGAGCAGCAGAGCAAAAGGCCCTGTCACCCATGGTGCACAGTTTTGTCCGGGGAGGGTGGAGTTTGTAGGAATTTGTGGAGCGGAGGGATCGTGTTGATGTCTGAGCAGTGAGCAGTTCTTTAAGATAGTGTGGAGCATTGCCGTGAATGGATTGGTGGGTGAGTAAGTGATATAAAAATATATTAAGTTGCCTTTATGCCTATTCAAACATATATTTTGTCAAAATTAAAGAGTTGTATTTATGTTTTACATGCCATAAAGGCAAAGGGTGGAATGATATAGAAATATGTTTTATAAGGTTTTAAGTTGCCTTTATATCTATTCAAACATATATTATCTTTATGTTACTTATAATCATCAGAACACTCTTTGATGGTGTGCAGAGGGACGGAGGGGTGCAGTGTGTGTGTGTTCTTTTTAGGAATGCTTTATTGAATTTAGGAGTGTTTTTGGCAGCAGGGCTTGGCCCGCCCTGCGATCACGGCACTCCGTTATGGGAACAACATGTTTTCGACAGCAGGCTCTCACGCGATTGCCTCGGTTTTGCACAACATGTTTTTATGAGCCACCAGCTGCTCATCCGTTGCTCTGGGAACCATCAAACTTGTCTTTATCTACTCTCACGCGATCCGGTCAGGGAGGGGTATTTAGGAAGCACAACATTGTGAGAAAATCAGAAGTCTGCTGTGGACCAACGCGCGTGAGTGCCCAGCGATTGATGTGATTCCTGTTTACCCGGGTCGAACGGCTTCCCGACCACGTGTCACGGTGAGAGGCTCTCATATCAATTTGTGTGTGTAAAGAGTGTACAAGTGTACATGTTTGCTTGGCTGTTTTTCTGTGGCAGATTAATAAATGACACTATTATTTCTAGCAGTAACAGTCTCCTTTGATTTATTTCCTTTCGTGTGAATCATCGGGTGCCGACCGTTCACGACCCCTGTTAATTTCATAATACAGTAAGGAAACCTTGTATTCAATACGGAGCGAAATGGGAAGCCAGTGCAGAGATTTAAGGATTGGGGTGATGTGATCATGTTTCCTTTGCTTCGGGTACTTGAACTTTGCCATAAATCTCGTTTGTTTAGCCACCCAGGTATAACAAAGACCCTGGCCCTGGTTAGAGCCCAGTTTTGGTGGAAGGACCTGGTTAAAGACGTCAAGGATTTTGTCTCCACCTGTCGCCAATGCTGCCAGGCTAAGACATCTAGACGCCCACCTGCAGGTCTGTTACATCCTCTTCCTATACCTTCACGCCCTTGGTCCCATATCGCCATGGATTTTATCACAGGTCTCCCCTCATCTGCTGGAAATACGGTCATCCTCACCATTGTGGACCGTTTTTCTAAGATGGTCCACCTAGTACCTCTTAAAAAAACTCCCTTCAGCCAAGGAGTTGGGGGAGGTCATGGTAAGAGGTTTTTCGTCTTCATGGACTTCCTAAAGACATTGTCTCTGACCGTGGTCCCCAATTTTTTTTCACGGTTTTGGAAGGAGTTTTGTACACTTCTAGGAATCACTGTAAGCCTCTCCTCTGGTTTCCACCCCCAGACTGATGGCCAAAGTGAAAGGGCCAACCAGGAGGTGGAAACTAAGCTATGTCTACTGTGCGAGGGGGACCCAACCAAGCTAATCTACCATGGGTGGAACACGCCATTAACTCTCTGCCATCTGCTGCCTCAGGTTTGTCCCCCTTCTACACAGTTTATGGCTTCCAACCGCCTGTGTTTTCTATTCAGGGGAAGGAGGCTCGAGTCCCGTCTGCCCACAGAGCTGCCCTCAGGTGTCAGCGGATCTGGAAAAGAGCCAGAAGAGCTCTCATCAAGACATCTGCCATCTACATCAGGGGTGCCAACCAGCATCGCTCTCAGAACCCACCCTACCAGGTGGGCCAGAGGGTCTGGCTATCTACTAAAGACCTTCCTCTCAGGGTGGAGTCTCGTAAACTGGCACCCCGCTTCATGGGTCCTTTTCCCATTGCCAAGGTCATTAACCAGGTGGCTGTACGTCTCAAATTACCTTGCTCACTAAGGGTCCACCCAACCTTCTACGTCTCCGTCAAGCCCTTGATATCATCAAGTTTATTATAGTAACATCCTCACTTGCATGTTTGGGGACTTAAAGGGGGCATAATAAGAAAACGTAACCCGTATTGCTTGCAGAAGTTGTAATTTTAAAAGCTTAATGTTTTCTGTTAACAGCTGCATGTGGTGGATCCCTATAAGAACAAACTGACCTGTCCCTCTCCTCCTCCGCTGACAATCCTCTTGCAGTCACTGGTGCCAGCGATGGCTGTCACACCCATGTTGTGAGCATTGTCAATGATGAGCATCAGCTTTCCGCTTTTTGGCGCAAACATGCGAATCTTACCATCATTCCATGCTGGAAGAAAGTAAAATCAGGTATTTACCAGCCAGCAACTGATTTGATTCAGTACTTTAGACTGAATCCACAGATTTCTGATGGACACTCTCTCTAATTCTTACCGCTAATGATGCTGTGTCCATCGATCATAAAGTCCAGGGAATTGCAGGTCACGTTGGGCACAGTGATACGCAGCAGCTCCTTGGGCTTATCTATGTGCCACAATCTGATGTCTTCTTCACCACATGTTGCAAAAAGTTCAGATATTCCACTAACAACATTAGAAGACAGAGTGGGGGTCATGTGGAGGTAATCATCAGCTCTAAAATAAATTGTAACTGAGTTCAAGGTCTTAACTTAGATATAATAATGTCTGTAATGGAAATAGGTTCAGTACATGTTAAACATTTTCCTTAAAACATTGAACCTTGTATGTGTCACAATCTAGTGAGAACAATAAGGAATTATGTGGTTATATGACAGTGACTCAAAGCTTTTTAAATAAAAGTGTTACAAATTCACAAACACACAATTTCACTTTTTTTTGCTTGATAGAAATATCTGGTTCAAAAAGCAACTGATAGTGATATGTGAACTGGAGGAGGAGACCCAAGACTAAATGTGAGTCAGAGATGATTAAAAACATGAAGGAAAGGCCAGAAGCACAGTCTAAACACCATCATTAATTCATAAAAAGATAAAGAAGCATTAATCAAGAACTGTTTGTCCAGTCTAACAACACATCTGACTTTACTTTGTCTGTTGGGTAAAAGACATGTATGTATATGTTCTAGAGGAACCCACCTGTTGATGAAGGCGACAGACAATTTTTGTGCCTATAATCTGTGTGGTGCATTATTTTATGAACCACTGGATGAATTTTATTGAAACATTCATAAAGTAATCATTGGATTTATATTTAAAATTATTAACTTTTGGAGTCAACCCAATTCAAGTCAGCTGAAGAAACAAGTGAAATTAGGACACAAAATAGCTATAACTCAGCTAATTTGACAGATATCTGTCATGAACCAGAGGCCGGATCGCAAACAACAACAACAACCACTGAGAGGGTTAAAAGATTTATTGTGAAATAAAGTAAAACTCTGGAGTAGGTCC